ATAGAGCCTTGAAGGCTCCGTCAAATGGAACTGAGTAGATGACCAGTAAGGGAGGGGGGGGGGGGGAGGAGAGAAGGCAGGCCTTGGGGAGTAAATAAGCAGGTGAGAACACTCACAAAGGGACACACTTGCAACAAACAGCTAACCATGCTCTGTGGGGAAGCCTCCACAGAGCCAGGCGCTCCTGTTTCCAGGGAGCGTCTAGGCTGGTTGCGTCAGTTCCTCATGGGATCATAAAACCCATCACCAAGTCATTCCTGAGGATGCTGGGTTTGCACTCACTCCAGTCAGAACAATCACAACGAACAGCTCTCTGGATACAACTTCAAAAACAATGCACACCAGGAAAACATTTAAAATAGCCAGGCATGGTGGTACAGGCCTGTAATCTTAGCTACTCTGGAGGAGGAGGAGGTAGGAGGATCAAGGGCCAAGCCCAGCTCAGGCAAAAGCATGACACTCTATCTGAAAAACAAGCTAAAAGCAAAAGGACCAGGGTAATGATTTCAGTGGTAGAATGCCTATTTGGCAAACTCTCCAGTATGTGTGTGTGTGTGTGTGTGTGTATTACATATATAGATATTTTTGAGGACAGAGCATTCCACAATGCATCTCCTAGCACATCCTTCTGGGAGGTAAATCCTGTCTTCTGCTGCTGCTGTTATTTCCCAGTGCTTAGGCATCCAACTCCACAGCCACCCTTTTCTTTTAGCTTATCTTCTCATGACTTTGGAGAGCAGTCTTCCTTATCTCTGAAACAAATGGCCTCCACAGAGAGCTGAAAACAGCTAAGTCATTTATCTGTTTGACATGTGTTTCCCTGTTTGTTTTCTCCAGCCTTGAGGCAGGAATTGTGTCAATGGTGGACGGGTGCTCCCGTCACTTGAGAGACATGAATCAATTTCCCAGCTGCATTTATCACTGGCTGCCTTAAATCAAGTCTAATCAATGCTTTCTTTCATTTGCTATGGGCTGGGACTATATATAACAGTCAGAAAACAGGCGGGAAAGAGGCAGATCACAAACTAAACTTCCACTGGGATTCAGATGAACCGTTGTTAAGGAAACATTTGGAATCTTTGATTCGCTTAAACGGAGACAGATGATCCATCACAGAGATTTCTGTGTAGGAAGTTTAACTGGAATGTACTTGACATGAGATGACTTTACATGACAAATCACTTCTATTCAAAGAGATACATTTTGTCAGTTGTGGGGCTTGAACGCAGGGTCTATGCATGGTCCCTGAGTTCTTTTAGCTTAAGGCTAGGGTTCTACCATTTGCACCACAGAACCACTTCCAGCTTTTTTCAGTAGTTAATTGGAGATGAGTCTCACGGACTTTTCTTGCCTGGGCTGGCTTCGAACCACAATCCTCAAATCTCAGCCTCCTGAGTAGCTAGTATTACAGGCCTGAGCCACCAGTGTCTGGCTTAAAAAGATTTTATAACTAACATATTCTGAAGATTTGGTGTATTTTTATAGAGTGTATCTGTTTTCTCACTATTGATTATGTCAGTTGACTTCCAGTTCCAACATATAAAATAATAATCTGTTTAAAATAACATAGCCCTTCTGTTTAGAATCACAGTCTGATAGTCTGACAACTAGAAACTAGACCCTCCCTCTGCTCCCTCTGTTTCTTGGTAATAGAATTTGATCCACACACCCAAAGTGGATTTTTCATTGGCAGGTGTGAAAACCGCCCCCCAGCTGTCAACCAATTTAGCATGTGGCAGGGAGCAGCCCTGTCTCACTGGTAAATTAATCTTGTGCCAGTGAAAGATGATACCAGCTTAGTTACAGCCCCTAAAACTAACCATGCCCACAGCAAGGCCCCACATTACTCTTCAAGGATAATGGGAGAGGAGAGATGGAACATAGAAAAATAGGTCAATGATAATGCAAGCTTAGAAGACAAAGCAGAGCTGTGATTCATTGAGATAATTAATATTTCTATCTAATCTGCTGAACTGTGTAGACTTTGACCAGTAGCCTGTCTCAGAAGCGATTAGTGGGCTGACTCATTTCACAGTGCTGGCTCCCCTTGTGACCTGTCGTCAGGTAGCTAAATCGAGGCCAGCTCAGCTCTGGAAAGTCAGACAACAATGATGAACCTTTACTCTGATTTACTACATTCTAGTTTATGAGGTGTTCTCTTAAAAAGTCCTCCACTGGAAGTACAACCAGACATTGCATGTGCATAGGTGGCCTAGTTTGTGTAGACTCGTCACACCTGAGCCGAGGCTCTGCTGTCTGGTCACCCTCCCCTCAAGTCTCAGTTCCTTCTATGAATTACAACTAGGCAGGTTCCTTCCTCTTCTTTCCTTAACTTACAGGTTTGTTTTTTTTTTTCCTTCCATCATTCAGGTAGTGCTTTGGGAAATTCATATTGTTATAGGACATCGCTCAAGTTGTTTGGCAAGTTGTCTGGTTTAAAAACAAATCAAAGGCAGCCCCTTGGGGTGTGCTTTGGGTCACAGATGTAGTGTTGTATAGTGTTCTTAGCTGATCTTCAACAAAGAACAGGTAATGTGATATAACAAAGCTTGAGTCCCTGTGAACAAAGCGTAGGATAAATAATAGGGCTATGGAGTCTAAAATGAAGGAGTTTACTCACATTGCCCTTAAAGCCCGTGCGGATGTCCAATGAGCTTCTGATTTTAAGGGTTTATGAGAAGGACCACCCTCACCTATTCTTTGAGGAAGGGAGTTTTTCTTTTCTTTTTGGTCCGGTCGTGGGGCCTGAACTCTGGGCCTGGGTGCTGTCCCTCAGCTCTGCAGCTCAAGGCTAGCACTCTACCACTTGAGCCACAGCGCTACTTCCAGCTTTTGTTTTTCTGCTTATGTGGTGCTGAGGAATCGAACTCAGGGCCTCATGCATGCAAGGCAGGTGCTCTACCACTGAGCCGACTTCCCAGCCCGGAAGGGAGTTTTTCTGAGTCTCACAGAAGTAGATCTCATGGAGGATCTTCTGTCAAAATTCCAACATTAAGGACAGAAACTGATGAGGGAAAAAAGTTTCCATGGCTTTGGGCTGGGAAGGTGGCTCAGTGGTAGAGTGCTTGCCTCGCATGCATGAGGCCCTGGGCTCAATTCCTCAGCACCACATAAGCAGGAAAAAGCGAGAAGTGGCACTGCAGCTCAATGGTAGAACATTAGCCTTGAGCTGAAGAGCTGAGGACCCAGAGTTCAGGCCCCACGACCGACAAAAAACAAAAAAAAAAAAAAAAGAAAAGAAAAAAATGTCCATGGCTTTAAAGTTTGTGACCAAAGTAGGTTTGTTCAACTGGCTTGATTTTTGTAGTGGTAAGTGGCTGGTGTAATGGATGATGCATTTCAAACTGGCTTCGGGTCATGTGTGGAGTGGAAAGGCATTTTTCAGGCGGTCATAGATATTTTGAAGCTCTCCGGGGAGCCTGAGGAAAGTCTTGGACACGTTCTGACCAAGCTGTTACAGTGTTCAGGAGTTAACACGCATGCCAAATGGCACAGTCACCCCAACTATCATGTTCGTACAAACTGGAATTTATGTTATGAACAAATCCCTTGCAGTCTTTCTAAACCCAAAATAAAAAGGATCATACCTTCTCTTGGAATAAAAAAAAAATGCTACTGAGATTAGTGCCGATCAGATTTCATTGCATTTCCTCCCCAAAGCAAATTGGATTAACTCACCCATTCATTCTCCCACCAACTATTTATGGAGCGCTGAGAACGTGGTGCTGATGTTCAGTGGTGACAAGATGAGACACAGCCCCTCCTCCCCAGGAACTTATACTCTAGTAGGGATATGCATGCTTAAAATACAAATGGTGACTTAAGCTCCTAGGCAGGAAGACTGAAGCCAGACTAGATTGTTCTGGTCTGGGCATAACCTAAAGAAAAGCAGGCACAATATATGAAAGTGTTTTCAAGACACTGAACATTTGGTGATGAAGACTGATCCCAAGGTGCAGAAAACAAGGTGACACAGACTATAAAATAATCCTACCCAGTGCTGTGCAGGAGGGAAAATCCAGGCATAGCCAGAGCCATGGAGCCCTGGAGACAGAGCTGAGCACTTAGGAAGACCAAGGTGGCTGGAGTTTGTAGAAGAGGTTCCAGAGAAGAGACCTTCCCAGAGGACCCAGAGTATCTGGAGAGAGGTGAGGGTGGAGAGGAGGAAGAATAGAAGAAAGAGAAGAAAGAGGGAGGGAGGGACATGGAGAGGAATAATGAGAGAGGGAGAGAAAACCTGTCTAGTACTGGAGAAGAGTTAGGATGATGGACTGGCAGAGATGGTCAGTACTCGCACAGAGAGCAACGTCCACTTCCATCAGCCACGCTGGAAAACGCTAGCACTCATGGGACCTTGGTAGAAGAAGAGTCTGGAGGATAATCACTGCTGCCTAACAAATCACAAAAGCCAGATCCACAAGGATCAAACTAGAGCAAGTCACTTAGCTGCACCTCAGAACAAAGTGTCTAGAATATCAATCTGTAGGGTTACATATCTAGCACCAGCAAGATACAATTCACAAAGTTTGGCACTGGATCAAAGATTACAAGGCATGAAAAGAAGCAGGAAAACATGACTCATAATGAGGACTTACACCCAGACTTTATAAAGAACTCTCAAAATTCAGAAATAAGAAAACAAACAACGTCTAAAAAAAATTGGCAGAAGATGTGAACAGACACTTCAAAAAGACATGTGATGACAGATAAGCATATGAAAAGACACTCAACCCTGTCAGGCTTAGGAAAATGCAAATTAAAAGCACAAAGGGATGCCCATACACACCTGTTGGCATGGGAAGCTGAGAAGACTGACCATACCCAGTGATTAACGCTAGGGTGGTCGTCTGTGCTGCCGGGTATAAGCCAGTACAGCCAAGCCACCGGAAAACAGATCCACAGCTCCTTAAAACATTAAACGTATACCTACCATACGGCTCAGCAGAGCCACTTCCAGATATTTACTGAAGGGAAATGAAAGCATATGTCCGACAAAGACGTGTACACAAATGCTCAAAGCAGCTTTATTTGCAACCGTGCAAAACTGGAAACAACTCAGATGCCCAGAGTAGGTGAATCCCAGTAGGTGTATTCAACGAAATAATACTCAGCAATGAAAACACAACACAAAACAAACAGGCTGCCACTAGGTTCAATCTCAAAATAACTACTTGGAGTGAAATACTGACCTGATACAATAACACGTATTGCAAGATTCGATTTATGTAAGATCTGGGAAATGCAAGTCATTGCACTGAACACAAAGCAGATCAGTGGCAGCCCAGGGGGTGCAAGTGGATGGTTTTTGGCTAGAAGGGAGGGACAGATAAGAAAGCCCTTCCCCTCCACCCCTGGAGATGATGGACAAGGTCATGACCTGGGTTATGGTGATGTTTTATCTGGTGTATTCATAGATAAACACTCCTCACACCTCAAATATGACTACTTTCTCACATGGTCAGTATACCACTGAAAAGCTAAAAGCCAGCACTGGGCTCTGCATTGTGGAGTGCTTAGCACAGTTACACTTCGGAAAAAGTTCTTTAAGAACTTTATTTTTCAAGATATAACAAGAAACCCAAGGTATGAGTAATGTAAGAGTAGCTCACTGACAAATAACATAGGATACATGTGCTGAAATGCATCCAGTGAAAGGCAGTTAACAGCAGAAGCGAATGCTGCCCTAAGTCCCCACAGTGAACAACCCACGTGGGCTCAAGGGTCACCCGTCCCCACCTCTGTCCCGCATTCTGCTGTGCTGTCCCGGGCTGTGGAAACCTGAAGGGTGCTGCTCAGCTGATCCCCAAGCTCCTGAATCAATGGTCTGCGCTCCCGGGGGGCCCCAGAACAGGCCATCAGTTGACCCTGGCTGAGGACAGAGTCCTGCCAGACTGTGTTTTCGCGGACCTGGCCATCGCTGAGAAGTAGGGTGCTCATACCCGCCCCCGGAGAGGAGCCTTGCAAAGAAATAATGGGCTCTGTCTGGCCGAGCCGTGGCTGGTCTCCCTCTAAAGCCGCGTCCTTGCCATCACAGGATGAAGAGCTGTCTGATTCTTCCCCCTCCGATGACTCTTCTGCCTCTGATGATTCTTCCGCCTCGGATTCTCCCGTGGATTCTTCGCTGCTCTCGGGGCAGGGGCCAGGACTTGATCTGCCAGCTTTTCCTGATGTTTCTTCCTTCTGGACAAGAAGCGCTGCTGCCTCCAGTTCCTCCAGCTCTAACCCCAGCTGGGCCTTCGTGAGGGAGACTTCTTTCAAGGCTTCTGCAAGAGTACTCAGCTTTTTGGACCTGGACAAGAAGAGATATTAGGATTAAGAAGAGATATTAGGATTATTCCTTGATTAGCCTGGCTGGAGCAGAATCCCCACGCCACCCATCCCACCAAGCATAAACAGCAAACTTGGAAGATATACGTGAAAAAGGAGATGGGACAAAAGCATTATGAAGAAATGCAGGTTTTATGGTCTTGGAATAAGGAAGGCTTTTCTAATCATGACTCAAAATACAGAAGCCACAAAAGGGAAGCTTGATAAATTTAAGGAAATAAAAACTCCTTCTAGGCAAGAAAAGAACGCAAGAGGGGAGGGGAGAAAGAGAGAGAAGGAAGGAAGGAAGGAAGGAAGGAAGGAAGGAAGGAAGGAAGGAAGGAAGGAAGGAAGGAAGGAAGGAAGGAAGGAAGGAAGGAAGGAAGGAAGGAAGGAAAAGCAAGGCACACACTCCCTACCCTGCCCCATGATAAGCTACACCAAAAGGCTGACTTGAAGCAGAGAAAATCTTTGCAGCTCACAAGACCAGGCCCTCCTTCCCCTAACAGAGTTCTTAAAAGTGGATACAACAATCCAACATAACAATGGGCAGACATACAAGCAGACAATCCTCACAAGAGAAAATACAAGTGACATTTAAACACAAATTCATTATATACTGAGATACTGGCAGATTTTTTTTTGGGGGGGGGAGCTCCAGTCGTGGGGCTTGAACTCTGGGTCTGGGCGCTGTCCCTCAGCTTTTCAGCTCAAGGCTAGCACTCTACCACTTGAGCCACAGCGCCACTTCTGGCTTTTGTTTTTTTGCTTATGTGGTGCTGAGGAATCGAACCCAGGGCCTTGAGCATGCAAGGCAAGTGCTCTACCGCTGAGCCACCTTCCCAGCCCATATCGCCTATTTCTAAGGCTGTGAAGGGAGAATCACTTTCTTTTCTCTTTACATTTTTATACCAGTACTGGAGCTTGAACTCAGGGCCTGGACACTGTCCCTGAGCTACCCCTGTCTCCCCGCCCCTCCTTCTCTACACCCCCCCCCCCTCCGGCCCCTATCTCAAGGCTCATATTCTACCACTTGAGCCATTGGTTCACTTTCGGCTTTTTTTTGTGGTTAACTGGAGATAGGAGGTCTCACGGATTTTCCTGCCTAGTCCAGCTTCACACTATGATCCTCAGATTTGAGTAGCTAGGATGATGAATTTTGAATGGCTCATCAATGTCCCCCAAAGGCCCATGTGCTGAAGTCCTGGTCCCAGCCTGTGCCAGTGGTATCTGGTTCAGGCTGGTGGGAGGTACCTTTTAGGTGGGACCCAGAGGGTGCCCTTGAAGGGGATTGTGGAGTCCTAGCCCCACTCCATCCCTCCCTTCCTCTTTCTTTTTGGTTTCTAGGCACCATGAAGTAACCAGGCCTTTTCTGCCGCATGCTGCCACCATGACGTGCTGTCCAAAGTAGCAGGGCAAGCATGGACTAAAACCTCTGAAACTATTAGCTAAAATAAATCTTTCCTCCTATAAACTGACTGCCTCAGGTACTTTGTTACGGTAACAAAGCTGATTAACACAACGTTCCTCAAACATTTATTCCCAACAACCACCTGCGGAATCAGTTCCACTGGTGAGTGAACAGGTTCTGAGGGGCGAAGAGAGCCACAAAGGCCACATCCCAGCCACAGGGAACCCCAAACCTCAATGTGCAGCTCTTCCACCGCAGCAGAGCCTTCCACCAACACTGGGGCTCTATAAAGCTTTTTTTCCCCTCCTTAAGACCACAATCATTTGAGTTCTGCTTCGCATCTTCCAAACGTGTAAATTCTGACACAATGCCCAACATTCTCCAAAGGAAGCGTGACTAACACCTTTAGCTTAGTAACAGTAAAGGCAGTATACACCTAGGCTTTAACTGCAGAGGTTTAGAAAGGAGGGAAAATTGAATTACTTTTGTTAATACTGGGCTGAGGATAGCTCAGTGGGAAAGCACTTGTTCAGCATGTGCAGGGCCCTGGGGTCAGTGTGCAGATGCACAGGGTGATGGGGAAGATTGTTTTGTGAATATTATTGAATACGTTAGATTTATAATTCCCAAGTGGAAATTACTTGGAAATGTTATTGTCTACTACACAATGTTTCGCCCTAAGTGTCTTTTACAAATTAGATGCTGCAAGCTCCTCCTGTTACTCCTCCTGGCTCTTTTCAGGCAGCACCCCACTACGGCCAGGCTAACACCTGCCTGATGTCACAGACAGGAAAGGGGTGAGGAAGAGTCGTGTGATGCAAATAGGAATCATGCTTGAAATCAGCCAGGTGAATTTCTATCCTTCAGGCAAAAGCTTGTTTCTCACTCTACGATTAAATGTATATGTTTAAAAATAAAGGGCTATGTGTTCAGTTTTGATCTTTCACCAAGCTGATTCATTGCTATTTTTTAGTATCCCGCTTTTTGTAGTCCAAGCTGGCTACTTTCCTGATTAGCAATAAAGTTCTGGTATAAAGTATAAGTCTATAAAAGCACTATTCTAAATTCTCCCATATAGATTAACATTCCAAACTAAAATTGGTATTGAACAAAACTTAGGTCTACATATATAACAAAACAAAAAGGAAGCCTTTCTTTTGGGAAGGAATTAAACCATGACAGAGCAGTCATTTTGTTCTTTCAGCCACAGGTTGGTTCTAATCTGTCACTCCCTGTGAATTCTAGAACTTATGCTGTAATAATGGTGCTGCCAGTTCAGCTTCTTTAAGGTAGGCAGCGGGTATTCTCTGATATATTCCAAATGAACATAGCTAGCCCATGTGAAAAATACTGCCAAATGACATTATTAGACATCCAGACTCTTATAAACACCATTCTGGTAGATTATGAAAAGCTATGTGGAGTATGGGACATGGTTGTAGTGTTATCTTAAGTCTACATAAGGAGAACCTTTATACTAGAGTGAAGAGATTTAATATCGAAAAGAGATGCAACACATGTAGTATTTTAATAAAGTTATACTCTAGGGTTTTTTTAGAAAGTTACTGTAAACTTAATCCTATCATGTAACCTTTAAGAAATGTTTTCATTCTATATCTGTGGGATAATATCCTATATGGAAGATTTAAAAACTGATTGTTGACAAGTAACAGCAGATGTAACTGTCGGGAAAGCATAGTACATGCCTCTGCCAGGGCCACGCTAATAAGAAATTTCCTCGCTAACTTCACACTGGTAACCTAGGGCATAAATGGAAAGCAAGCATCCTGTTTCTCACCATAGAGTTTCATCTTCAACCACCAACCAAGTTCTCACCGCTTCCTGCAATAACTGCTTACCACAAGCTCTGGTAAATGACTAGGTTTCATTTCTTCTGCCTAAACCCAGTGGACTGCCAGCCAAGCCCCGCTGATGTCAGAAGACAATCCAAGGCCTGTTCATATGGGACAGCAGACTGGCTAAGACACTCCATTTTCTATTCACCCCTCAAACCCAATGCTTACAGTCTCAGCATCTATCTGGGACCAAGCAGAGTTTCTTCTTAAAGGGCACTGATGATAATGTGTCTTATCATTATTCCTGTCTACTGAAAACTCAGAACCAACTCCATCTTTAGGCTCTCTTCCCCATATACCTTTCTATACCTAATCAAAAAGGCTATGAAGCAGAAGTTGTTATATGATTCCTAGCTGGCATCTGAGAGCCGCCATAAAAAATAATTACCAACTGATATGTAGATAACTCAGAACTGTCTGCTGTTTTACTGTAGTAGCCAAAACTACTCCTAGCTTTGTCAGGAACAGAAACATCCAATTCCTTTGAAAAAGCAAGACATATTTAACTTGGGCCAATGCAATGACTTCTCATTCAGTTGCCAAGATGCCAGCCCTGATGTGGGCACAGGTGATAAGAAACACGTCATCTATGGATAGTCATGAAACCCTTGTATTTGCTTTCTATAGCTGCCACAGATGACAACTACAAAGTGGCCTTGAGTCCAAATGAAGGTGCCAGCAGTGATGAACTATATCCCATGTCTTTCTTGTAGTGTCCCATGGTACTGGCAACCACTGGTGTTCTTTGACTCAGTACAAGGCTCCCAGCTGCGCCTGCCATCACAGCATGTTGACCCTATGTGCCTGTGACTTCCCCTTCATACAACCATTTCCCGGGTGGCTTCTTAAGAGAACATAAATTGTGCTGGATTAAGGCTTACCCTACCTTACTGTGACCTCATCTCAACTAATCTGCGCAGAATCTACTTCCAAATAAAGTCAGATTCTGAGGCTCTGGGAAGGACAAGAATTTCAAAGGGACACATGCTTATACAACACATTACGGAACCAGACAGTAACTATGAACCAGACAGTAACTATGACCAGAAAAAGACCTTTTAATCAGCTTAAACCAGAGACTAAAATGTAATAGCAAACAGTGATGGAAGGTTTACACTTCACTCTGACGTACAGTGATGAAATATTTAGCAACCTGAATAATATGCAGGTTTTAACTTCATATACACATGGATTCTCAAGATAAAAAAATGGATCAAATACAAATTATATTACTCACAGCTCTAACAGAATTTGCTTTACAGCACCATCACTTTATGTTGGTCTTTGAGGAATGTTCACTAATTTTTACAGAAAATAAACCAAGGCATCATCACTTTTGTAAAAGGTTTCTCAGCATATGGATGCTCAAATGACCTTTTGTTATCCAAAACAAGGATTTTCCCCTAATTTTACTACTATTGTCAAGCTTTCTTCTTTGATTGTTAGTGAATGCCATGCTTCAAGCACAGCTTCTGAAGAACCTCTACTGCCTTCATGCTTTTGTCTAGGGCTGGCCTTGGGCTGTGGTCCTCTTATCTCTGCCTCCCATGTAACTGGGAACATGCCATGTTTGTTGGTTATGATGGGATCTGCCCTATTTGCCCAGGCTGGCCTAGAACCTCAATCTTCCTAATTTCTGTCTCTTCAATAGCTGGGATTACAGGCGTGAGTCCATCACACTTAACACCCTACCACTGTTTTTCTTTTAAAATTTAT